CTGCCACATCCTCATTTAAATAAAGAAGCTCATTTGGGAGGTGCATATCAAGGTGGGCTTGGTCATGTAGGAGCCCCTCCTCCCCCGGCAGCAGTAAAAGGGAGTCCCAGTGCATAGACTGCAGGTGGTGAGTGTGGTGAGCAGAGACGGGGGTGGGGTGCATTCTTGCTCTGCAAATGGGGAAGGTGGTCAGGGATATTTGAAGCTGCTGAATTATTTTTGAGGCTCTACAAATTATGGAGCATAACTGTGATGAGTTTTTGAAGATAGACATATAAGTGATGTTTACATCATTTTAAATGGTTTTGCAAGGCCTTACACTTTACCGGGCTAGACTGCACTGGCACTTCTGATTTGTGGGTGTGAGGACTGAGGTCTGGGGCAGTTTGGCGACTTTTTGTCTTTCTGCATTGCATAGCACCAGCACAGAGCCTCAGCCCAGGTCTTTGGACTCTGAGTTCATTTGTCACGTTCATGACACCTGTCTCCTCTTTTTATTTAAGCCCTTCTTGATTTTTGCTTAATCCTTTAGAATGAAGAATCTGGAACATTTTATTTGTTGAGAGAGAAAATAGTAAAAAAAAAAAAGTCTGATCTCCATCCTTCCTCTCTCTTTTCCTCCCCTCTCTCCTTTTCTCTGTTTCTCACACTGTCTGGCTGTGTTACCCAGGCTGGCCTTGAACTCCTCCTCAAGCAATCCTCCTGCCTTGTGTTCAGAATATCGGAGACCACTGTCTGTGGTTGTAAGAATGGCATTTTTAAACTTCTCATCATTCAGCCCAGAAGCCACTGGCAGGAGGAGACCCTTATGTGTAACCCTCACTTTTTGTCCAGTTTTGCCTTCATTGGGAGCTGCAACAATCTTCTGAAGGGTTCTGCTCCCTTTAGGCCCAGGATGTTCTCTGGGGGATCAGCGGAGGCCTGTGAGCCCACCCTGCCCGGCCATTCCTAAACCCCTCTTCTGACTTCCCCCAGTGTTCCCTTGCCTCTTCTTGTTTTTGCATACTTTGTCCCTTTTGAAAAAAAAACATTTTTTGTTAAAAAATGGCTGTTCATTGTAAATTTCATATGTTTTGTGTGCATTAAATATTTTTATATCTATCTACCTAGGAAGAAGTACAAACAAAAAATGAAAAGTTAGACAACATTTTAGAATTCAGAAAAAAATTACTCCATTGATGGTTTAACACTGTTCCAGAATATTCCTGTGGAGATGTGTGAATATGCCAATATAGTAGGTGTTTATCATTTTTATACATATGATTATGTTTTATATGGTTCTGTTACTCATATCTTCCCATAGCAATATGTTATGGGCTTCTTTCCATGCCAAAAACTAACTTTGCATCATTATTGTTAGCTATTGGTAGAACTCCGGTGTGGGCATGTACCATAATTTCATTAACCAAACCCTTATTAGTGGGCGTGTACACTGTTTCCTAGTGTGAAAAAAAAATGAAGGTAAAGCCAGGCAGACCAGGACTCTGGGTCCCAGCAAGGCCCAGCCCAGTGGGTGGCAGGCAACATGCCAGGTGTCTGTGTGCAAGGTGCTGGCACAGAGCCTGGAATGCCGAGCATTTTCTTATCTCAACAGTGTTTGGTGCAAGGCTTTGGCTCCAGCCAAGTCTGATGAGAGCAGGGTGGAGCTTTAACCGACAAAGGCATCTGGAACCTGTTTCCATGGAGAGCAAAGGCTCTTCCAGGCAGGTTTAATCGCCTGTCTGTGCCTAAAAACCCACAGCACTGTTATCAACTGCTCCTTGAGCATTTCTCTGAGCAGGACAATCTCCCTGTGGGAACACACCCTATCTGGAAGTAAGATTCGTGGAAGGACAAATCTGAAGACCTACTGGAGAATCAGTGTTTGGTGAGGGTCACCTGTCCCAACTTCTTTGCAATGACAGGCTGAGTCACTGCAGGCATAGCCCATCTGGCAGAACCCACACAGGACGCTGGATTTCATATGCACTGCATTGTGCCCCGGATCCAGGTCAGCTCCGCTGAGCCCCTTCATCTACCACTCAGGATTAGTCTTTCTTAGGCTGGTTCCTGGCTGGTGTGGGTGTTGTCCCTATGGAATCCCAGTCTAACTCATCAAAGGCCTCTTATCTCATGGCACAGAGACACCCTTCCCACTTCTAAGGGGGTGCTGCGAATCAGGGTCCACAAATAAAGGCGGGGGGTCAGAGCAGCTGTGACCAGTAACAATAACGGCTCAATTGCTGAGACAAACATTTTTACGGTGATGCATGGGAACACTAAATCCAAACCACATTGTTTAGTTTTCATCCCAGTAAAGGGGAATGCCACATCCCTTAAAGTAAATGGAAGAGATCATAGTTTAGAAAATATGACAGAGTTGAAAACTTAAAGCTGTATCACACAGTAACATCCTTTGGAAGGGAAAACAACTGATACAAGGGAGTGTATATATTTCCATAGCAGTTTATTCATTTGGAGACTTCCCTAGTCCGAAAACTGAGCTGGGTGGTGGTGAGTCAGAGGTGCCTCAGGCAGCAGTTAGTAGAGTGGGAACAGCCTTGCGTCACTGTTGGGAAGGGGGCTGGTGGTGACGGGCTGGAGGGAGGCACTGACCCAGAGAACCACTTCCACGTGTCTACTTCCGTTCAGTGATGGCTTCAGCTCGATATCAAAGGCGACACACAGGGCTGTATGACCTTGATATTTATATGCTCTGGTCCCCTGTTTCTCTTGTGGATTGAAAGTTTACTGGGAGTCTGTAAACTGTGCAATAGAGTTCAAGTTCACAGAGACCAGTCCAGGCTCTAGAGAGGTGCTGGCAAAGCTTCTGGAGCTGTCATTGATAACAAACAGCCCGCTGTGGCACATGTGCCATAGGTTCACCACCACTGCTCTGGAGGGACAGCCCGAAGGTCCTTCTATGCTCACAAAAAACTGCAGAAGTAAAGCTTACTAGGAGTAAGCAGTGAGGGTGCTGCTCCTCTCCTGGCAGAGAGGCAGGTTCACCAGGAGCTCACAGAGGCTCAAGCTTCTGAGCCCAACTAGTATGGGCTGGATGGGAGATGCTGGGAGGTATGGAGCGTTCCAGGTGGGGAGAAGAACCAAGCTTTTCTAAGTAAGAATTTCTAGTAAATTAAGGAGCCTTCAGAAGAAAGTGTCTGACTCCCAAATCTCCTTGAATTTGTTGTGATTTTTTTCTTCTCCTTCTCCTCCTCCATCTGCTCCACTTCCTTCTTCTTCTCCTCTTTCTCCTTTTTCTTCCTCTTCTTCATTCAGCATTGTATGTCATTTTGCATTTATTATTATATAGCCTTTCTCCTAAAAAAGACTACAACTTGCATAAGGCTTGGTCTCCATAGCACCTGGCCTATGATTTTTGGTTAGTGTCATCCTTGAAATCTGCATTCCAACGAGTGGCCCCAGAGAGTTTTCTGAGGTCAAAGGAAGTCACCCAGCAGGAGGTGGCTCCACACAGTAGACCCTAGCTAAGGTCTGTAGCACCTGAGGGTGAACCTCCAGAACCTCTTCCCAAGCTGTGCAAGGTACTTCCCACTCTAGCAAGCAAGTGTGGAAGATGCAGAGGCAGAACGGCCATGGGAAGAACTTCCTGGGGTGTGTGTGTGTCGACATCCGAGAACCACTGTGGGGAGTGCACAGCTGAGGGTGGGAAAGCACCCATGTGGGTATCAATATGGCACCTAACAATTGGCAAAGGGAAGTGAGTGTTGGCAGGGGACCCATGTGGTCGCCTGGTCTACATGGTACCTTATGTGGTCATAAGCACTTAAATATACAGTACATAGAACTGGAGGTGCTAGTTGTTGAAATTTATAGAAATCTCAGATATCACCTAGTCCAATGACTCATTTTACAGACTGGAAAACCGGTCTGTGAGATCTACGGTGGGGCCTAGGTGCAGTCATTGTGCACTCTGTCTGGGTCTCAGGGAACTTGTGGGGAAGCCCAGCGGAAGCCTAAGCTCAGTCAGTCCCTTGAAGGTCACGGTTGGTCCACGTGGCCCGTTTCCTTCAAGAACGTGGCACATAGGAAAGCAAGCCAGTGCGCCACATGTTACAGATTTAAAGACTTGTATCTGGCATCCAGAGGGTGTGATAATTTTTTCCATCGTGGAGTAACAAGTTTTTAAGGGTGCAGAAACCCTAAATGGTGCAGGTACGTGCTGCAGGAAAGCCATATACCATGTGCACTGTCAGAGGGAGCACGGCTGCTCTGAGAGGGGATGAAATCTGTGAGCACAGTCGCCTGAGGCTTTCCCTGTTTTTGCCAACTGAGTGCCCCAGGGTCTGAGCATTACTTCCTGTCTTGCTTTCTGCTATGTCTGGCAACAGCCACTGGCAGATACAGGCAGGAAGTGCAAAAGCAGGAACTCAGTCCTGCCAGAGTTTCGTCTGGGAAGCCACTCGGCAGGACCCTTTTAAACAGAGGGGATCTGGCTGGCTCAGGCAGCTCACACTCCTCCTCGAGCCATCAGTAAATTAAAAACCTCTGCAGCCTGGCTCACTAATGGGCCCAAACAGCATGTAACTCAGCTCCCCAGAAAGAGGACATGCATGCTTTTGTTTTATTTCATAATCCTTGGTCCCTGTTCAAAGTTTTAGTAAGTGAGGGAGCCTAGTGGGAAGTGGAGGCTCCGCTGCAGTGGGCTGTGTAGGGCAGCCAAGACAGTTGGGCAGTCTCCTGGAGGATTCCTGGAGTTCCTGCACAAGCTGGACTGTGACTAGCTAGCTTGCAGGGCAGTGTGGCCAGTTCTTTAGGGTTGCTTGTGTGCAGGACTATGCCCTGGAAACCCTAGTGCATTGGAAGATGCATTGTTCTAAGCTTCATTTGTGCAAAGAGAAATTACCCTAGATGTGATCTAGAGATCACTCTGTGCTTTATTTCAAAAGGTGGTGCTAATGGGCTGAGAGTGCTTGCCTGGAGATGAGACCACCAAAGAACTGAGTGTCATGGTCAGACTTGCTGAACTGCCCTCATGACTGCTTGGAACTGTCTTACAGGGCCATGGACCAGGGCCCATGGAGGCCCAGGATGGAGATGGCTCAGATGTTCTAGCTCTTTGGTTTCAAGAACACTGACTGACTGCTGCTCCCTGTTGAGAGCTCAGCATGTCAAGCCTGGCTGCACAGAAGAATCCCTGAAGAAGGTTAAAATGAGCATATTGGGCTTCACTCAGAGAAATCTAATTTAAGAGGGTTTGCATAGGTCTTGAAGGCAACTGTTTCAAAGCTTTGAAGGTGGGAACCACTATTGCAGACCTAATCTCTGCCATAGGCTATATCATTGTCACAGACTAGATCTCAGCTACACATGGATCACTACTTCAGGCTGCAACATTGTCACAGACTAGGTTACATCCTCAGATTATGTTACTGCCTCTGACCACATCACTGTGTGTATCAGTCCACTTTGCACTACCATAACACAGTACCTGAGGCAAGCTATTTCACAAAGAAAATAATTTTCTTTTTTAGCTCACAGTCTTGAAGGCTAAAAGTCAAAAAGACCAGGCAGCCCCATTGGTTTGGCACCTGGTGGATGACATCATGGTGAGTGTTTGCAAGAGGGAGAGATCACACTGGAAACCGGAGAAGTGGCTCAGAGGCCAGACTAGGTCTTCTAACAACCCAGTTTCTCAAACACTAACTCAGAGACCCAGGAGAACTACTTTAATCTCCCTTGAGAGAAGCATTCCCAGTGACTGATCCCCCCTTACACCTCAAAATTGGCAAGAGTTAGGACAAGCTCCCAACACACGAATCCTTGGGGAACAAATTCAAATCATATCCAAGCCACAGCTTGTCTCAGACTTAATTACCTCCTGAGTCTGGATCCCTGCCTCACACTAGGTCACCACCTTCAGACTAGTCAGCACCCGAGACTGGATCACTACCCTAGAAGTTTCAGTGCTTTTCAACCGGCACTTCATTCGAATTACTCTGAAGGCCACTGGGTTGGGAAGAAGCAGCGGAAGAGTTCAGCGCATAGCCCCTTCCAGCTTGGAAAGGGTGTGCATAGTGTACCATGCACAGCACCAAGTTCCTGTACAAACAGAACCCCACTGTTACGAGTCGGTCTGATATGCGGTGCAGAGTCGGGCAGAAGAGAGCTTAGTGTCTCAGGAAATTGCTGGACTTTTCAAAAGGTCAGCATGCAGAGTTTTAGCACCAAAGTTAAGGCCTGAAGGAAATCAGGTCATTGTCTCCGCCATGGTGACTGGAAGTGTGAAAACCACTGGTCGCACTGCAGTGTGGTCCAGATGGGGTCCCTTCTGGATCCTGCTCCTCCTGGCTTGAGGAGCTTACTGTTTCTTCGAAGAGTAGGACCAGAGCAAATACGTACTCCTGGCTCTGAGAAATGGCTTGGTGACAGATCTGAGGGAGAATAGTCACACTGAGTTCTACTTTGTACCTCGAATATATTTCAAGCATGTGGTTAAGATGCAAGCAATGTGGGATTTCGAAGATAAGAAACCTATTTCTCCTTTCCAACAAAAGTGATGTGTAAGAACCTGCCTAGCCTAGTGTAAGAACCTGAAAGAGTAAATAAAACCCAAAATGTATAATAGATATTATGAAAGGGAAAGAAATTGCTCAAAGGAAGCAACAACTGGGATGAGGGAAAGGAAAAAAAGAAAGAAAGAAGCAAGGTAAAAAAGATAGATAAATAGATAGATGATAGCTGGGATAACTGTAGTGCTGATGTCTAATGGTTTATTGAAAGAAACAGTTATGTTTAGTTTTTTTGACCTATTTTGCGTGCTTATATCTGGTAATCTGAACAACTAATTTGAACACAACAATATGTAATATAACAACCATTGGTGAATTCCTACCATCTTGTTTAGTGAAGCTCTGTAGCATTTCTAATATTTTTTAAACTATTTTTTATTCTCTTTAATCAGTCTTGCATTCTTACATCTGGTAACGTGAGCAACTTCATTGAAGATACCAATATGTAATATAACAACCACTGTTAATTCCTATCATTTTGTTTTGAAACCCTGTATCATTTTTATTGTTTTTGCTTTGCTTTCCTTTGTTTTTGTTATTTTTTTTTAATTCTCTTTAAAATAAAGAAAATAATGCTTATTGCAGGTCCTTGTCATTCTCCAAGAATGACTTGTATCCTGAATGAATTTGCTCAAGTTTGAGAAAAAAATAAAAGGCCAGTATTTTTGATGCCCTCCTCCAGCCTAGGCTTCTAGCATGTGGACTTATTTCCCAAGCTAAGGAAAAAGCTGAAAAAAAAATGCTGTCGGGTCCTTGTCATCCATCCCCACAACTGCACTTCACGTGGCGGATGCACCCAGGCGGAGCGTCTTAGAGCTGCTTGTGCATAGGGGCCAGTATCAGGAGGAGCTCCTTGTCAGGCGATGGTGAAGTGAAATCTATGACATAGGGCTTTGTCTTTTCAGACGTAAACACAGAGCCAGTGAACACTTCCGGCCCTGCTCCCATAGTGCAATGCTTCCTGCCAGGCCTCTGCAGGCCACAGCCCCTCTGCTCACCTGCCTGAGCCTGGTGAGTGGCAGGAAGAAGCAAGGACATCAAAGGTGCTAGTTGGGTGTTCTTGCGCGGGCTGCCCGGCAGACCACCACCGGGCTGTTTTCCTTGCAATGGCAGGTTTTACAGGTCTGGGTTTTTATGAGCTAACAGCTTCTTTCTTACTCTATGTTGTCTGCTTTTCTGACTTGCCAGATTTTTCTCACACTTTTCAAGTCCAGTCTAAGTGACTCTGTGGCTAACAAGCAAGGCACATCCTTTGCTAGCTGCCCAGGCCTGGGGCTTTGATGAATGGGACCTGTCATGGGCTTCTTTCTCGGTCATCCTGGGAAATCTGGGCTGTGCTCTCCACTGTGGGCGACCCTTTTCCAGTGTGGCTGCTTCCACTACTTTGGGCCAACCTCCCCCATTGCAGCCAGTCGTCCCCTGCTATCAGTCAGAGGCCTGAGTCCTAGCGGGAGGCCACAAGGGCTGACCTTGTAGTGGACAGAAAAAGATTCCTTCTTTTGTTTTTTGGTACCAGGAATTGAACTTAGGACCTTGCTCTTGCAAGGCAAGTGCTGTGCCGCTGAGCTGTATCCCCGGCCCACTCCTTCTTAAATCCTGGGCATCTTCTGGCTCAGCACCAGGAATGTGAAGTGACCCGAAGGGCTGGGATTCAGATGGATTGCAAACATGCTCTGGGGTCCATCACACCTCGGTGAAGAATACCACTTGTTTTTTTCCTCTCTTCAATTTTCAGTGTATCACAGAATTACATTTTTCTAAATTATAATAAATGATTAAAAATGAAATTTAAAAAGTAGATGTACACAGCATGAGTAGTTTATTTTTAGATTCAACAGACATGAAATTACTCTATCAAATTGCTCTGGTACAATTGATTTGAAGGTAACAATAAACCATGGAATTACCATGGTGAACTCCTACCATCTTGTCTACTGAAACTCTGTATTATCTCTAATGTTTTATTGATGAATTATTTTCTTATTCCTTTAATGGTTTGAGCAACCTTTCATTCTTACATCCAGTAATCTGAGCAATGTAGTTGAGGATAGCGATATGGAATGTAACAACCACTGTTGATTTGTATTATTTTGTCTTGACACCCTGTATCACTTTGAATGTTCTTGCTTTGATTTGTTTATGTTCATGACACTAGTATGCTGCTACTGTTCTATTTTTTTGTTTGTTTCTCATTTACTAGTCTCTTTAAAATAAAAAATAAAGAAAATTTAAAAACAAAAAACAAAAAAACAAATTGCTCTGGTAGTTTCTAGACACTCCCAATTCCAGGTTGGAATTCCAATGATCTTGTCTTAAACCAGGAGCAGTGAGTTCACAGGCCCCACTCTGTGTTACCACGCTTCAAGTAGTTCAGTCAGCCCTGCAGTGTGTGTGTGGGTATGTGTGCATGTTTACAAGTGTGTGTCAACAGGTGTGAGTGTGTATGTCTGTGAGAATGTAGATATTGAGAGTGTGTCCCTTTATGTGTGTGAGCGTGTGCATGTGTGTCTGTGTGAGTAGGGGTGTGTATGCCTAAGTGCATGGCTGTTGAGTGTGAAAGTGTGTTAATATTGTGTGTCTCTACATGTAACTGTGGATATGTGAGTGCATGTGGGCACTGAACATGAGAATAGTAGTAATATGCTTATGTGTGCTTGTTTGTATGTAAGGTTTGTGTCTTAGTCACTTTCTTCATGGCTGAGACACCTACCTGACACCCACAACTTAAAGCAGGAGAGGTTTATTTTGGCTCATGGTTTGCAGAGGTTTCAGTCCATATTTCATTGGCTCCAAGGCAGGGTGGTGTGGCAGAGGGGCGTGGCAGAGAGGAAGCTGCTCCTGTCATGGTGGTCAGGGATCAGAGAGATCAGTGAAGGAGCCAAGAGGCCTTCTGGGCCACACCCCAGTGACCCACCTCTGACCAGGCCACACTTCCTACAACAAGTCAGTTCTAAGCCCTACCCAATCACCCTCTAAAACCCCTGAGTGCATAGAGCTCTTGGGCAGACATCTAGATATAAACTATCACAGTGTGTGTAGGGAGGGCACGGGGATGGTGAGCAGGTTGTGTTAGTCCTGTGTGTGTGTGCTTGTTTGTATGAGTGAGTGTGTGAATGGATGAAACTGTGGAGAGGTCAAGAGCAGCCTAGGTGCAGACTGTGAGAGGAGCATAGGTGTGTGGGTTAGGCATGCGTATATCTATGCAAGGTTTATTTAGTCAGTGCCCAAGGGAGGGGGCACACAACAAGGACAAATGGCCAGAGGGAGTGTGGGAACAGGGAGCAGCTTCTCTCCAGTACAGACCAGATGGCCACTGCCAGGACAGGCCTGTCTGGAGGTGGTTGAGCGTTCAGCACGGATCTGTGCTGTGTGCAGGTGCTGGCCAGGTGTGTGTGCATCTTTCTTTCTGGGCCTGTCAGAGCCCTGTGAAGACGTTATCATCAATCCTTTTTCAGAGCAGGGACATTGGGAACTTGCTGAAGTGACAGGGCTTGAATCCAATGCACGATGGTGTCCCCAACTCCAACTGTCACTCACAACATTATAACACCTCCTGGAGCATTCCTTCCTTTGAGACCACTATTGTTTTTATTGAGGCTTGGATAAGGAATTAGCTTAAAGAGGACTCTTCCTGGTTAGCCCCTGAATGCACTGCCCTTCCAGGCCAGGCTGGGACTGTGGAGTCTGTGATCAGAAATACAGACTCTAATATAGTACATTATAACTATGAAAGAAATTATTTAGGTAGACATTTTAACTTCTCATTGTTATTCAGGCTTTTGAAAGAATTGGCAATGAATGGGGCATGAGGAGTTTTTAGTGTTCTGTAGATTTTTGTTCATTTTCTATTTTTAAAAAGTGAAACCATATTTTCTGATTTATTTTTATGTGAGGTTAAGAAATGAATCTAGTTGTAATTAAAAGTCTTTCTTCTTATCCATCCCAAGCCACCTTTCTTCATGATTTCTGAGGGCTTCAGAAGCACTGGCAGGAAAGCTACACCAGAACAGCAAGTCCTAGCCTCAGCTCCCGCAAATTTAAGCTCCACTGGGGCTCCCCACGACCTACCTTCTGCCCCAGTGGGTCTCGCCTTGGCCCAGGCTCTGCAACACTGGGGCTCCATGAGGCTGGGTCTTCTTAGGGCTGTATCCGCTGCGTACTGGTGTTGGTGGAGGTTCCAATGCCTCCAGGTTCTGAATGCTCTACATCCTCAGAGACTGGCTGCAGGAGTGTCCTGGCAACTGTATGATACAGCATCATGGACATGATTTTAAGAAACACCACGGAAACCTCCACTTTTAAAAATCAAATACAGTGGTACTTTGAAGAACTTAATTTGTTCTACAATTTTGGAAAAGATGGCCACGTGTGTTGTTTGTGTGGGAGATAGCTATGGTTGTGTTTATCATCCTACGCAGAGTATGCAAACAAAAACACAAGTTTGCTAAATGCTTGTTTGTGAATCAAACTGTTTGCAAACAAAGCTCTTGTGAACTGAGGTACCACTGCACTCCTATCAACAGAACTACTGGCCAGGATAGATGGACATAAAAGATAGAAAATGATCTCTTTAGATTGGCCATTATTTCTTTTCCTAGCATGTTTTTTCCACTTTCTGTGGCTATATTATCTCACCCTCGATGGTCCAGAGCCAGTGAGAGAGATGTCACAGGGGCTCACAGACAGAACTCTGGCCA